GGCGGGCCGCGGGGCGGAGCGTGGGGCGGACGGAACCACCCGGATGGGGTGGGGAGGTAACGGGACGGGCGCGACCATGGCGCGGTGAGGGAGCGGGGGTGGGGATCCGTCCGGGGGAGGCCTGGGGCCGCTGGCTTGTGCGCCGTCTCGGCCACCCCCCCTCTCGCCGCCGCCGCCGCCGCCGCCGCCGCCCCGGGCATGTCTTCCAACTGCACCAGCACCACGGCGGTGGCGGTGGCGCCGCTCAGCGCCAGCAAGACCAAGACCAAGAAGAAGCATTTCGTGTGCCAGAAAGTGAAGCTATTCCGGGCCAGCGAGCCGATCCTCAGCGTCCTGATGTGGGGGGTGAACCACACGGTAACCAGCTCCCCCGCGCGCGCCCCCCCGAGCGCGGCCACGCGCGCTCCCACGCCCCCCGCGGGCCCCGGCCCCAGCCCCGCGGACCCGGGGGTGACGCTTGCCACCGCTCGCCCAGCCACTTGCACGCCCACCCCACCCTTGCACGCCGTCCCGGCGGTCTGCACTCCCCGCGCGCCACGCGAGGCCTGGTGTCTCGGTGGTATGCCGTCGCCTCTCCCCTCCCCTCCAACCCCTCGGGCTGCCTGCGCCTGGTATGCCTGCTTGGAGCTGACCCTGGAGCGCCCAGGGAAGGCCTGGTGCGGTGGAATCGCTTTCTGCGGGTCTCCCTCCATGCTCACCTCATTCCGTTTATTGCATGCGTTTCCCCTCCTATTCTTTAGTGAGCAGGCAGCTCGCAGCCCAGTTGACAGGGCCAAGTAGCTCCGACCGGCCTACAGACTCCTCTGTGCTGGTCATTTGGTTGATGTAGCTGCTCAGAGTCCCAGCCGCCAGGCCAGAACACCTATCCGCTGGCTGTAGAAGCCCTCCCTGGGTCTCCCTTTTTTTTTTTTTTTTTCATCTTGACCGAGATGTATCCACTGGAGTAACCCAGGCTTCTTGAACCAGACACTTTACCTGGGACTCCCTGGGTTAGGGAGCAGAGAGAATGTAACCATTTGAGAGGTGAGGCCTGATTATTTGCATGGCAGTTCACAGTAGAAATAATGTATCTTCCTATATTAGCCTATGTGATTCCTCTCAAAGACCTTGCTTGATTTCTTATTTACTGAGCTTTTCGTTGTATGGTCATGAAGGGTGTGATAATGGGTGGCGATTGGGATGAGAGAGGGGTCCCCCATCCCTGGGACACTTTGAGATAGTACTTAAGTCCAGTCTCCCTGTTAGGAAGTTGAGCCCAACACTGGGTTTGGCTGGAACACTTATGTGCTGTTGGCGTAGGGTCTTCTTCCTCTCCCAGCCACTTGCCCTATGCCTTCTCTGACCACTTCATTGAGTCCCTACACTAGGAATGAGCACAAAAAGTGAAAGCACCTGAAACACCAGCTTCATCAAATAAAGCTTTGAAATAAGGGAGATGAAGTTAATGCCTTGAGAGTCCTGTGGATTTCAGCTCTTTAGCTTTTCAGAGCAGTTGAAATTGCCCACAAGACTGACACGACAAAGAGACCCAGGGCCAGTGAGCCTTTCCGCTTAATTTTAGTGGAGGAGTCTTTGCCTAGAGGTTAGTGAACTGCAGTCGAGCCAGGGTTTTAGAGCTTACGTCTAATACAGAGAGCACATGTATGTGGTGGGGTCTCTGTTGGTGTCTTGGTCTTGGCTGGGTTGCTGTTTTAGTGGCTTCGCTAGGTGAGCAGGTCCGGACGAGGGTAGGGAATAGCTCTGGTTTTAAGTCAAAACCTCTGGACCACAGCAGCAATTTTTTCCTCCTACCTCCTGCTGCCTCAGGGATCATCTGACCATGTTGTATGGGAAACTGTTTCTTAAAAATGTGAACCCTGTGGCCCTGCCTTGTTATCAACCGCTAATTGTGTTCTGCAGCATGTTTCTCACCAGAAAGCATCCTATCTGTAGTGAGCTGGTAAAGGTCTGAGAACCAGGAATATTACAGCTAACTGGAGGGAATTTGTGTCCCTTATTTCATGAAGAAGTGGAGATTCTTAGAGGATTAGCTCACCAGTGGGCACAGCAGAAGATCTGCTCGCTGTCCAGCACCGGGACTGTTGGCCAGTGGCAGTGGTGGCTAGGTGGCAGGTCCTGTTTTCTTTGCTTCCCTTCCTCTAGTTCTCAGCCAAGTGTCAGGATTGATGGCATTACCATTTTGGTAGAGAACCAGAATGTATACTCAGCTGAATGTGCCCCTGCGTGCAAGTTCTTGGGAGTGTTGATGCCTGGCTTCCTGGTAGGCAGTGAGTCTGGTCAGATGAGGGCATCAGGTAGAAACCTCTCAATGGCCAGTGGCTGGGTGTCTGTGATTCCTGTCCTCTTGGACTAACTATGTTGTCACTTTTCTTGACTAACTTTAAGAAAGCTTGTTTCAGGCTAACTGGAAAGGCATTGATTTAAGTAAGACCCGTGCTTCTGGGCTTAATGGGTCAACTCCTAGGGGAAATACACTGTGCACCATGGCCTTGGGCAGGCCAGCCTTGGGAGGGCAGTTAGTTCCAACTTTAATTGCGTCACTTGCCTTGCAACAAGTCTCCAGAAAAAAAGAGTATAAAATCTTGTAATTCTCTAGGAGGTCAGGACCATGTGGTTTTTTGTCAGTCATTTTGGATGGTTACCTTAAGAAGCCTAGTACCATGATGTTTTGTGACTTAGGGTTTCAGATATACCTTTTCTTTGATTCTGTGGTTTCTCATTTCCATTTTGGGCATTCAGACCATGCTGGTTTGTGGTGATGGTTCATCAGATACACAGAATGGCTGTATCTTTATAGCAAACAGCCAGTGACTTTCTTGTGAGATGGTTGATTACTTCTGGTGGAAAAAGAGAATCTAGGGTCTAAGTCTTGCTGCACAGAACCCCTCCTGTGGGCAGGAGAAGCAGCCCTTCTTGTGGAGGGAGACTGTGTGGAAAAATGGAGAAAAGTCAGAAGACTTTGGATCTGTCAGGGAGAACTAGTCAAGACAGAGCCAGTGTTTTAGTAGGTGGCCACCGCTCAGAGGGCCTGCTGTCAGGGAGGCTGTGGCCTCAGAGTGCGTGTGGAGAGCACAGGAGGCAGACCTGCTCGATAGGCTGTTGGCCATCTCAGGGAGCAGGCGGATGTGAAGCCTTGCCAGTGAGCATAGGCGCTGTCTGGGCGTCTAGGCGTTTGGGAAACTCAGACGTTCATTAGAGCAACTGCAGCATTTTACTTTTTCTTCAGCATTGTGTGAGGGCTCCAGCTTCTCCACATCCTTGTCAACTATTGTTACTATCTGTCTTTGTATTATGTCTACTCTAGTGGGCATGAAGTGGTATCTCATTGTGATTTGAATTTGCATTTCCTTGGTAGCTCATGATACTGAGTATTTTTTCATGTGATGAATGACCATTTCTATATTTTCATTGGAAAAGTATCTGTTAACGTCCTTTGCCCATTAAAAAAACTCTCCCGTTTTAAAATTGTGTCATCTTATTACTGAGTTGTAAAAGTCCTTTGGGTATTTTAGATGGAAGTCCTCATCCGATACATAATTTACAAATATTTTCTCTCACATCTGTGTGATTTTTTTCACTCTGTTGATGGTATCTTTTGAACTTCAAATTTTTGATTTTGGTAAAGTCCAGCTTAATTGTTTGGTTGTTTTTATGCTTTTGGTGTTCTTTGTAAGAAGGGTTTTCCTAACCCAAGATCTTAAAGATTTGCTCTTGAACTCCTAAGAAAAAACGCTTATAGTTTTAGCTCTTACATTTAGGTGTATAATCCATTTTTAAGAGATTTATTTGTTTGTGTATACAAGAACTGGGGTGTAGGCCAGAGGTGCGGGAGATGAGAGAATTCATCAGAGACAGAGCGGGGAGCAGAACAGGCAGACTGACTGAAATACACTGCCGAGGGGAGCAGCGGGCGGGACAGGAGAGGTCTATTGTGCCCTGTGGTCAGCTCCCTGGCAGGGGATGGAACTCGTGCTGCAGTAGCTATGGATAGCTTGATAGCATTGAGACTTGAACCCCTGCCCCACCAGGAAGGCCCTGGTATCTACTTTGAGTTCATTTTCGTGTATAGTATAAGGGACAGGTTCATTCTTAGGATTACTCCGCTGTCGCTCACGTTCTACCCCTGTTGGGTGTGCTTACTTATTTTGCTGACTGCAGACTTAGAACCTTCTTAACTTGTTCTTTTATCCTACATCACTACTTCAAAAATCTTTAGTAAATATTTTGGCTCTACTGAGGTCATTGGATGAATTTCTCCTTCTACAAGTCTTCTCCGCTCACAGAGAACAGTGGGACTCACAGGAGAGAAGAAAAACCAAGGTGTAAAAAGGAGGACTAAACCTAGAGGTGGAGTTGCATCTGTGTCATTTTTCTTTCTCTTTTCCTCACTGGAGTTTGAGGTCTTGCTTGGACCCCCTGTCTTGCTTGGGAGTGTGCTTTCCAATATGGGGTGTCCTACAGCATGACAGGTACTTGTCAGTGGGGGCACACACCTCGCCGAGCCACCCATGGAACCGCACAACATGTCAGGAAACCTGCATGGCCAGCCCACGCCTCCTGGGTAACAGTTCCTCTGGAGGTCACACAGGGAAATAGAGGCTTCTGGTATTAGAAGTTCACCAGACTAGAACTAGGACTGAATTTTCACATCCAGGGTCAGCGTGGAGTGCCTCTCTGCTGCTAAGTTGTTTCTCACTCAGCCTGTTTAACCTCATTGGTTATGCTGATGGCTCATGGAGTTAATCGAGTGCATAACCCAGAATCCACTCATATGATGAAAGAGACAACAGACTTACTAACATTTTGTTTCTGTGATGTGTGATTGAGTTTGCGTTGTGATCGAAGGCAAAAGAAGTTGACCCAGAAATGTGCTAGACAGTAAAGGCAGGCACACCTTCCTGAAGCATTGCTTTCGTCGCCCCTGTCATGCTTCGAACCCTTGGGCCGCTCCCCTTTGCCTGTTAGATGTTTCCTCTCTCCCTTGCACTTAAGACTATAACTTGGTCACTTCCTCATAACTAACCTTACTTTTCTCCCCATGCTCCAGTCCCTCAGCCTCTGGCCTGGCCACGCCAGCTAGTGTTAGTCCCCCTTGCGCCCCCGCGCCTTCCCTTTGTGTGACTCTCGGTGCCAGTCACTTACACATGGGGAAGATAGTCTCTTCCTTCTAGGGGTTCACAGCCTAGAGGAGATACTGACATGTACACAAATAATTACCTGAGTGAATGTGACCTTTAGGAGATGAAGATGCACAAGGAAAACAGACGCACTCCAGAGGAAGTATCGTTGAACTGGTTGTAGGTGCTGCTTAACTTTATCCCTTCTTCTGTTCTTGCTGCCACAGTCTGTCACCTGAA